TGAAATTTTGCAAGTGTGAAGGCAAAGCCTGAAAAAGTGAATTTACAAAGATTTTCATGATTTCTTGTTCAACTACACACCGTAATTGAGAAGAAACACCACCATTTCTGATATTTTCCAGAGATATTAGGAGAAAGTTACTTAGTATTGAGCTGGTGAAAGAGAATAATGCACAACACGTTAGAAAACAGTGTCACTTGAAGAAAATGAAAGAATACACAGACCAGGCCAACAGAGCAAAAAAGCACACATTCAAGGTAGGTGATGCAGTGTTGGTTATTCTGATGTGTCCTTGTCAGAATAACCTCAGTAGGATCATTTTAATTGATGAATAAAGATAATGGATCTAGGATCCTCAGAAGTGAGGATACACAGAACGTGCTATGCCTGAAACAGAAAAGAACAAACAACAGCTGAACAAATACAGAACCAAACATATGAACCTGGAACTGAAAGACAATGATGAAAAAATATCAGTTGGTAGAGATGTCTGTTGAATAACCTATGGAGAAACAGTTGAACACTAGAAGTGAGAGTTGTTAAGAAACCTGCTAGGTTTAAGGACATGGTATAAAAATTATGACTAAGAAGCGACTAAAGACTGTTCAGTCTAACTACTGAGATAAAAAAAACAGGGAATTTTGGGATAGTTTAATACAAGCCAGTTTATTTGTATTTGAATTTCTTTAAGTTCATATTCACTTATGTAATTGCTTCTAAGAGAAATGTTTACATTTATTTGTAGAAGATTGTGTCAAAAAAGAGAATTCAAATTCATGTAGATATAAACTTTAAAAACTAAAATAAGGGAAGGGTGTAGTGGAGTCATCGTCTTGTAAGATTTGGGGAAAAACCAGGTGAGATGATAGTGTGTGAATATAGCCAGAGAATGGCAGATGTATATTATCTAGCATTGAAGATTCTACATTTTGATGTATTCCCACTTTTCTATCCTTACTGAAAAGAAAAAAAAAACATGCTGGTCTAAGCTGGTCTGTCCTGGTTTATGCTAGTCTAGTGCTTGTCTGGTGCTGGCTTAGCTCGTCACCCAGCATTGTCATGCTGAATGACCAGCATACCACCATCCATAACACAACATATGCTGGTTTTGCTGATGACCAGCAATGCTGTTTTTTTCTGGCAGGGATGATGTTAGGATGTTGTTTGCATTTTATTTTTGTTTAAGCTTCTTCAGAAGTTCTCTCCATATGTCACTCAAAACATCATGGAATGCAGGAATAATACAGCTAGGGCTTGGGAGTCGACGTCACGCCGTGACACATTATGGGATCATCATGCCATTTTGGCAGGGTTAGTTCTTGTTTACATGTTGCAAATAGGCACACACACACTGCAAAAGATTAAAGAGATTTATTGTGTTTTTCAGGATTAACATGCTTAAAAGGTGAATCAAATGAAAAGGGAGTGAACTTTAACCAACTCCAGAAGAATGCCAAATAACTATATAATGAAAAAACAACCTTACTGACATGTGGGTCCACACAAACTCCCAAACGTGTGAGTGCAGTTTTACTCGATTTCGGCATATTTCACTCAGGCATTGGCATATTTTGTTGTAGGCAGCAAACACTGCTTGCCTGTCTAGTTAGCAAACTGATGACAATTTTACTGTACTGTGGCATATTAAACCCCATCACAACTCAATCTAAAGTCATAAAAAGAAACAGACAAATGCTAATTGCCTGACACTTAACATAAAATTACTAGCCTTTTAGCTGGAAAACAGCATGTTTTCAAAGGTAAAATATTAGATTGGTATTCTGTAGTGGCAATATCAATGCATACCTCACCATGATGTTGTGATTGATGTATTATTCACCAGAGTTAGTTAGCTGATTCCAAACGTGATAAATCCAGACCCAGGGAACCTAAACCTGTATGTTATTTCTAGTTAGATAAATCTTGTTCTTGCAAGCAAACAGTAAACATGCACTATGTATACCCTTTGAATAGTGTTCCAATGACTAATAATAATGACCACTGATATATTTCACCATATTTCTCTTCTCTTGATGTAAACTAGGCAGTCCTAATCTTGGGTAATGTTTCTATAAGCATTCCCCTTACTAATCACAAGGCTGATGTCTCTTGCCCCGTCCACACAAAACAGTTTCTGAGTCAGAGAAACTTGGTGAGCTAAAGCTAACCAAACATAACCAAAAGTATACACGTCTGTTCATCTGTTCCTTCGCACATTGCTTTGTCCGTCCATTTCTTCATTCATCCATCTGTCTGTCTGCACATCTGTTTGTCTGTGACTTTTTTCATGCAGTTACCATCACATAAAAGCTGCATGAAGATTTTAGTTTTGTATGAGTGGTGGAGCAGGCTAGGAGCGTTGGACAGAGACCTTTCAGTGAAGCTGCTCATTTTTAATTCAAGATTTGCTGGATGTTTAATGTGACATAGTATCATACAAACATTTAAAAAATTGTATACAATATAATTTTTTAGTATGTGTTTTCCCTGGGACTTTAAATTTTGTTGAAAGTTTATTCCATTAAATCTACATAGATCTATAAAATGAGCTTGAGGTTGATGTTTATCGTGACTTTCAATGCTTCCTATGTGCTGTTTAACTACAGCAGTGTCCAAATAGTTAAATGAAACTTTCTTGCTTTCCTTGATAGGCTCTTTTCACATTCCTGCATTTTTTCTGCTGGAAGTAGTCGTTGCAGTATAACACTTCCACTAAAGCAACAACAGTAACAACGATGATGAATAGATTCTGTACAGCTTACTCAAGTGTTCAAGTTTGAAGCAAAAACAACCTTATCTCTCAGTTTCAGTGGTTTGTCAGCTGACAATGAGCAGAGGAAAAATAAGTGTGTGTGGTTAACAAAGGAATAAACTTTGTCATACGGAGGTAAAAACCTCAGTTTTCAGTTTCTCCCTCAAAAGGTGTCTGCATCTGAGACAGCAAGTGCTTAGCAGGGAGTAGATTCACTGGAGCCGGTTGTAGAAAACACGGACCATGACAACCTGGCATGCTCCTCTGCTGACATGTGTTTAACTTTTTGCCATCTGGTTTATTTACTGTTAACAAGCTGTTTCAACATCGCCACCTAACATGGCTTATCTAGTGTTTTGGTTAAAGTCATTTTCACCTATCCATCGAATTATCACTCTGTAGGTGTTAGCTGATGGTATTGCATAGCTGTGAAGGAATTTTTCCATGAAGCATATACACCCTTTATTTAGTTTGAAGTCCTACATTGTTGTGTGTTTGGTGATCTCCAACCATTCTGGACACATCCTCAAATTCCAGTCTTAGCAACTATTACAAAGATAAAGTGAGACCGCTTTCTGTGGTGAGCTGAAGTGATACAAATGCCAGTGTTTCTGTGGTTAATAATTGTCTGTAAGAAAATAACGGAACTTGTTTTATCCAGAATTTACGCACGTCTGTTACTTATGAAAAGGGCCTATTATGCTCTGATCTTTGACCAGTCATGTAGATCCACATATTACTCAGCTTTGCAAACATGTTTAGTGAGTCCATGGGCTTTAAATCAACCAAAATCAAGGAAAGCAGTTAGGAAAGGAAGGTTCATTTATTTATCTGCTCAGAACCAGCCTTCACTGTTTTGAGAAGGTTATATGAATGTTATCACTCATTTCAATTGTTGGCTAACCTGTTGCTAACAATACTTGCTTTCATGGAGGTGTCCATGTTTTTCCTGCTTTCAAACACATGATGGTTGAAAATGACATATGATAGTTCTTCCAAATGTTTCTACCTTTAAAGCTGAGTTGTTAATCTACATCCTCTTCTGAAAAGAAATGGAATATAGTTTATTTTATCTAATTTATTCATTTATTATTATAATTTATTTATTTATTGTTTATTTTGTTGTTTGGTACCACTGAGCATTACAGTGTAATTGCAATTGTAAGCTGCCTTAATGTTAACCCTTTGCATGGAAAGGAGATCAAAATAACACAATTCTGAGCAAGGTACAAACATTTAGCAGTGAAAAGGTTCTGATAGTTTGAGATAGCAAGAGTGTCGAAATAGTTTTCATGTCAATCCTAAAAATGGGAAAAATGGCTTTTTGCTTAAAATAAGCTTTTTGCTAATAAAATAAGTAGATGTAGTAACTGAATTGGTAGTTTGGATATGCTGTAATTACATAACAAAAGATACTGAAGACCATCCACTTTGGAGAACACAAAATTTGGGATAGCTCTTCATATAGATTTATGGTTAGCGTTTAGACCAAGAAATTCATTACAATTTACAATAACATATTTTTTAACAGAATGTATGTTTCCATTATATCAAAAAGCAATCTGCCAATGTCCTCACAAATTGATTTATCAACATGACATAGGTCATTCTAGAAATACCTTCTGCTTTACAAAGCCGGGTTCTACCTCTTAGAGATAGATCTCTTTGTAGCCACAAGTTAATTTTTTGGTGTTTTCAGTAACTGGGCTATGAACGCATCATTAATGTGGTACTTGCAACATTGTGACAAACACTGTTTGGTCATTGCTTTTAATGAGTAAAAACATTGTTCAGATCTGGTTTCTTAAGGGCAAGGTAGGGACGTAGGCTACATTATTGAATTACACTCCAGACGCCAAATGCCCTTTCCCATTTGTCTGTAGCGACCTCTGGTGTTAGCAAAATAAGTAAAAAAGAATAGTTTGACAATTGCGTCCTCCGATGTTCATTGTCGTGATAGAAAAACGCCCTGCCCCACAGAGACATATATTTGGTCTATTCTGCGATTATATGTTCATGTGGAATTTCTCTTTTTTTCAGTTTTAGGTTAGCCAAATGTGTTTAACGTTCTCGCGCTGTCGACTGGACTATGGCTGAAACATTATCAAAATATGTATAATTCTGTTACACTTTTGATGACAGTCAAAGGTAAAGTTTAAAAAATCTACATATAGTTACATCCCCTAGAATCTATGAGCTGTTGGCTCTTAGGGGGGAATATTAGCTACGTGGAATTTTATTAATCATATTTTAAAGTTAGTGAGCACTCTTGTGGCTTTCCTGTCCTTCTGACAGCAAGGAGGTGCCCGGCTGTTGTTCGTTCACGTCACTCTTGCTCTCATTCCCTTCTTCCTTCCTGCCGAGCACCGATACCAGACCTAGCCACAATTCAAACTATACAGCGGTATTCAAATATTCCAAAGTGTTTTCTACGTATACAACCGATTTTTGGAGCGTGGTAAGTTTAACGACTTCATTGTTTTTGGACGGAATATTAAAGTCATTGCCTAGCACTGATCGGTCGATTGGCCCCATGTCTATTCCAGCGAAACTCAGCGAATTCTTTATGACTGGCTTGTAAAATAATCTGCACTCTGAACTGGATGCTAATATATACATTTCCGCTTTTCATGCGACACCTATATGACGATACGTGTAACTGTGTAGCGACAAACATTGTTTATCCATGTTATTTTTCAAAGCCAAAATGTCGCCTTTTCTTTTTACTTCCACATTCTCTCATGCCACAAACAGATGGCGGCGGGGCGGGGGCGGGGGCGGGGGCGGGGAGGGGGTTGAGTGGGAAAAGCCGCATAAACGAATACAGTAGGCCACAGTCCTCCTCTCCATTTAATGGTACAAATGCTAGCCTAGCCCACAACGACCGGGACAAGATATGCGCGTTTGGACCACATTTCTGCTTGGATTCAAACTTATTCTCTCTCAGACGTCTTGCTTGAAGGCTAATTGTGGTCAGCTATGTACGAGAATGTTGCGAAGTTCATGAGTGTAGCTGAGTGGCTAATATAATGTTATTATGCTTTCGGTTGTGGCTTGCTGTGATATAGGCTAATGTAGTTATTGTTCACTTGTGTTTCCCGAATGTTCCTAAGAAAATTTGTGAACTGAAAGTAGACTGAGGCCCAAGAATTTTCTGTTGTTGTTTGCTTTGCATGATGTATTTGCCTTGTATGCACTCCACTGTCGTTAACTTGCCCATAGAGTCGTGACAGGCCAATTGTGATTCGTCAAATTAGCTCTTCTGATCAGAAAGAAAGCTACAAACCTATGGCGTGAACTAAATTTAGCTGTCAATTAGTTGTTTTCACTTTAACAGACAAAAAGAAAGTTTGTAGTAGACTGCGAAAAAATGTGGTGAAGGGGAACATTTTAAGGGTGGAATTAAACTAAGTACAAATTTTGCATTATGTTGTATATACTGATGGAGATTAGTTTCTAGTTTTATAATGTGTGATTTTTACACATACATAGAATGTGTGACTTCGCTGCAGTATCGTAATTACAGTATTTTGCATCTCACCTTCAAATTGTAAGGCAAGAGGGCATCTGTGCTTTGGAGCAATGAATTACCCTTTTAGGTGTGTAGTCGACTGCCAAGTAAAGTCAAAGTTTAGTCTTAAAGACTGAGGCTGTGTCTGAGTCCTGAACACTGACTGGAAGATTATTCCAAAGCTGGGGGCCTTTGTATGAGAAGGCTCTGTTGTAACTTTATTAATTTTTGGCACTAATTGTAAGCCTGCACCTTGTGATCTAAGTAGGCGTGATAGTTCATAATAAGAGATTAGTTCACTCAGGTACTGAGGGGCCAGGCCATTTCGAGTTTTATATGTCAATAAAATAATTTTTTAATCAATGCAAAATTCAACTGGCAACCCAGTGTAGGTTTGATAAAACTGGGCTGATATGGTCAAACTTTCTGGTTCTTGTGAGGACTCTGGCTGCAGTGTTCTGGACTAACTGAAGCTTGTTAAGGCTTTTGCTGGAACATCCAGACAGCAGGGCATTACAGTAATCAAGCCTTGAGGTAATAAATGCATGAACTAGCTTTTCTGCATCCTGTAGAGACTGCCATGCCATCCTGTAGATATTATCATGTAATGGTCTCTTGTGAGGGCTGAGGGAGTCTATCTGTGGAGCAGTTATCCAAAACACATTTAGTTTGGTTCAAGTTTAGTCTTCAATTAAATTACACTATCTATTTGGATCCATTTTAGTCTAACAATAAAATTATTAGGGCTTCTCATTAAGCTCTGCTTACAAGGTCTGGCTGAATTCTGTGGGTTCTATGGCTTGAGTTAAAGCTGTACTGTGTGCTGTCCACGACTGTCCAGCAGAGGTTGGCAGAGTAGCCTAAACCCATATTCAAGTACTGCTTCTTCTGTGAAATAATGACTCAAGTAAAACTATAAGTAATTTAACAAAAAGCAACTTGAGTAGAAGTACAAAAGTAACAGGTCAAAAACTACTTAAATACTGAGCAACTTATAGATCTGAGGTGGAACATCATAATAAATCCAGGATCTGTCTGCATAGAAATGGAAGTTTGTTAGGCTCAGTTCTTCTGTTTTTGTGTAGGTGTAACCAACTGAAAAGCAGAACAGATGCTCTCTCCAGTGTATCATAATGAAAGTAAACCCAGAAAAGGCATACATAACTAAATGTTAAAGACTGAAATGTAATGGAGTAAAAGGTAGACTGCTTTCCTGACAAACACACTTGAGTAGAAGTAGAATTAAAGGTATTATAATTTGGAAAATTAAACAATTTGCACTAGACATTGGATGATAGTATATACATTTAATGCAACACCTACATGATAAGTGCCATTATTTTGCTGTAAACATTGTTTATCCATGTAATTTTACGTTATGAGTTGAAGGCAGTGTTCATCAGTAAGAGAAGAACTTGCTGCTGTTGTGGTTTTGGCATAAAACTGAGCTTAAAAGTCAGTGATGCTGATTTTTGTGACTGAATCCACTTCTTTAATAACACTGCTAAAATATTTGAAGATGACTTGAAAACAGTAAAACTTTATAATAATAGACCCTAATAATTAGCAACTTAAAGGCAAATTCCACCGATTTTTCAAAATTTCTGCATAATTAAATGGTAAAGGTGTAAACTGTCATTCAGAAGTGGTTTGCTGTGAAATGTTCCATTTGAGAGAAACTCACCAAGTCAAAATTGTTCATGATGCTCATGAAAGGAAGCAGGCTTCTGAAGAGTTTGATGAACCTAAAAGCTCCCTCACATGAAACATGAAATCATTATGTTACGTTTCCTGATGTTTGAGACATTGTTTTATGATTTCTGAAATAAGGTTTCAGCCTGACATGTCCTTTTTAAAAAATGGCAAAATTATACAAGCGAGTAGTCACAGCACAGTACTGCAGAATTTTAAAAAATATAATAGTTTCTAATAGTTTGTTAATATTTATATAATTGCTAAATATGCATACAAATGTTCATTTTGTTCATTTTTTAATAATTACTTATTATTTGATACTCATAACTCATAGCTACTAACTTGAAATATTGTCTACTTTGTCACATACAAACAATTTATAACCATTGTGAGTAAGTAAGTTGTCTAAATTTTGTTTCAAATGAAGAAATTATTATATTGCTAATTTGTTATTAACGTTTTACTTAACGTTTAGTTAATCATTAAGTGGCTACTATATACTTTTTTAAACATTAATAATCATTAATTGGAGCACTATTATAAAGTTGCGACTGAACTTTATAATGTATTTATAAATAATAAATCATAATACTCTTATTACCGAGTACACTTAACTGTAATACATTAACAAAAACTTTTGCCGTGCTTTAAAACACTGAAACATTGGAAGTTGACAGAAATGATTAAAACACCAGTGAAAACAGAGTGCAAAAAACGTCTTCAAAAATTACTTTATGGATGCATTTGCTCATCTGACTATGCGTTCTGCAGGTATTTCCCTGCACATCTCTGTGCTGCCAGGAAGGCAACAAAAATATATACATAAGTCTGAGACTCATTCATGTTAGCAACACTGACAAACACGTGGGTGATTTCCCTCCACACAACACTATCTATGACATCAGGCAGTGCAGCTTGACAGAGAGACCTCCCCTTGATACTGCGAAGTTGTGGCGCAGTGGGTAGTGCTGTTGCCTCACAGCAATAAGGGCCTGGGTTTGATTCCCGGCTGGGCGACCAGGGTCCTTTTTGTGTGGAGTTTGCATGTTCCCCCATGTCTGTGTGGGTTTCCTCCCAAAGACATGCTGTCAGGCCAATCGGATATGCTAAATTGCCCCTAGGTGTAAGTATAAATGTATATGTCTGTCTGTCTGCCCTGCGATGGACTGGCAACCTGTCCAGGGTGTATCCTGCCTTCCGCCCAATGACTGCTGGGATAGGCTCCAGCTCCCCCTGCGATCCAGACGGATAAGTGGCTTAGAAAATGTGTGTATGTATTTATTTTTCGGTCATATGTGTGAACTGAAAACTATGCTTGAAATTTTGTGCGAGTTTATTACATAGATTTAATATACAGATATAACTAGTAGTGTTGTAGTGCTCGAGTCCCCTCTTGGTCTCGAGACCATAAACCAGTAGTCTTGTTTTAATCTCTGACTTGACATCAGTTGGACTTTCAATTGGAGAAATTGTTGTCAAGACCAGCTAAGTGCAATGACTGAGGGAACCGGGAACTGAATTATTATTGAATATCAACATAAACAGAATAAAACCGTGCTTTTTCTGTGTCAAGGGTTCTTGTTGTAATTCGCAGCCCCCACAAACTACTACAAAAGCTTCAGTGGTCTACAAGATTTAGCTGATCTCTTAACTTATGTGAAGATGATGTTTGGCAGCTACTGATTGCTGGATGTCAGGCTGATGAAAGGAAAGTTGCAAACAGAGTTCTGGCTCAATCTGACAATTAGATATCTCTTTGATGTGTTCGGTCCCCAAGTGATGGTGTAAACTGTCGGATTTCAAAGTTTTGGTTGAAAAGACCCCTGAGCAAACACCACAGAATGGTAGGTACTCCTTTTCAGTTCCCATGCAGATGAAGCCTAGCGCTACATATTCACTGCTGTATTTCCTTTGAACATAACTAGCTAGGAGTTTGCCAGAACAATCAGTGAACGCAATACAAATACAATGGTTTAGTTTTCAAATAATCAGCAGTATTTGCCATATTTAAAATTAAATTTGGAAAAATGTCTAGATTGTAATGAATTTTTTGTGGTTACAGAAAAAAAACAAAACAACAGCGGTATAATTACTACAATGTATAATGAGGCCGGATGCTCCCATCAAGGTGAAAAATCTGCTGAATGCAGCTGGTACTGACAGCGTAAATGCCTGTAATGCTTACTAAACTCCACAGTCTGATAGTCAGAGATGTATGGGACGCATGCATGGGACAAATGACTTGCGAAATT